GCTGGGGTACTGCCGGGTAGGTCGGGGCTGTCCCACTGCCCGCGTGCTCTGCGGCTTTGCTCTGCATCTCCCTGGTCTGTTGGGGGCTCCCCCCCCAGCAGACCAGGGAGACGCGGAACAACTTTTCTCGCCCCGGAGGACGCGGGCGGCGGGACCGCGGCGCATCTAGGCGTCCCGCCGCTCCTGTCCTCCGGGGCGAGAAAAGCCCCGTTCGTAACTGCGGATCCGATGTAAGTCGGATACGCGTAACTCGGGGACTGCCTGTAGTCTAGTAGCACTGAATTAAGATGCTACTAGACTATTTGTTGTTTTTTAAGTTTTTCCTGTTAAACATAATTTTAATTAACATTTGTGTAAATACCTTACCACTAACTATTAATATAGACAGCAATTTTCAAAAAATTAACACATTATTTAGAATGTGTAAAAAAACAGTAAAGAGCAAAATATGTTTCCAGTGACTACACTGCAACTTAAGTGGGGGATAGGATGACCATTTTGGCTGGGACTGTCCCTTTTGTAAACTTTGTCCCATCTGTTCTGATACTTTTGGCAAAAGTAGACATTTGTCCCATTTGCTTTTGTTGACTTGACCAGTTGGCAAGAACAAATGTGACAAATGCCCACTTTTGTCAAAAAAAGCATGATGTGTAGGAATGTTCAGGGGGAGGGTGGAGCAATACTAGAGCTCACCAGAGACATGAAAGTGTGAGGTGAGTGACTTGGGTCAGCCTGGCGCAGTGGGGGAAGGAGAATTATGGCTCAAGCTAGCCCCACACCATGTTCCACTCTTCCTTTGAGAAATATGGTCACCCTAGCGAGCGGGGTGGAGAGGAAGAGAACAGCACTTTAGAGAGGGAGTGCAAAAGTGAGAGGGAGTGCAAAAGCTGCTGAAAAAGTGGGCCTGCATCAGCATAATGATGCTGAGACTCATTCTCTGAGACCAGACGGGCTGGGGAGTTGAAAAAGGCAAGCCTGGCTGCAGAAGCCCTTTTTCACTGTAGCAGAAAGAGCAGCAGCAGGCAGAGAGGACCGCAGCATACAAGTTGGCACAGTGCCATGTGTACACAGAATGATGAGAGCAGGGAAATCTCTCCGGGTATGTCTACACTACAAAGTTAATTTGAACTAACATCCGTTAGTTCGAATTAACTTTGATAGGCGCTACACTAGCGCTCTGCTAGTTCGAACTTAATTCGAACTAGCGGAGCGCTTAGGTCGAACTAGGTAAACCTCCTTCTACGAGGACTAAGCCTAGTTCAAACTTACTAGTTCGAATTAAGGGGTGTGTAGCCCCTTAATTCGAACTAGTGGGAGGCTAGCCCTCCCCAGCTTTCCCTGGTGGCCACTCTGGCCAACACCAGGGAAACTCGTATGCCCCCCTCCCGGCCCCGGACCCCTTAAAGGGGCACGGGCTGGCTACGGTGCCCGTGCCAGATGCAAGCCTACTAAGCCTAGTTCAAACTTACTAGTTCGAATTAAGGGGTGTGTAGCCCCTTAATTCGAACTAGTGGGAGGCTAGCCCTCCCCAGCTTTCCCTGGTGGCCACTCTGGCCAACACCAGGGAAACTCGTATGCCCCCCTCCCGGCCCCGGACCCCTTAAAGGGGCACGGGCTGGCTACGGTGCCCGTGCCAGATGCAAGCCTGCCAGCACCCAGCCAGCAGACCCTGCACCTGGCACAGCTCGAGCCACCCAACCGATGTCCCCCAGCCCACCCCCTCTTCCCGGGACCAGGGAGCTTGCCCTGGACCGCAAGAGGCAGGCCCCTTCCTGGGCTAGTGCGGACATCGTGGACCTCGTCCACGATCTCCCCACTAGGCACAGGAAAGTGGCCATCTAGGGCAGGAGAGCTGCCAGCCTGGCCACCCAGGAGCAGGTTTGCATGAAAATCA